CGGCTCTAGGCTGGTGATATCTGTTTAATACCAGGGCCCAGGGGCTATGGGAAAGGCTGTACACAGCAAGCACGTATCTACCACTACTCAAATACCTAGGCCAGTCAAACACAAAACCACCATTCAATTGATAATCCTTTATTATTCAACTTTTGGTAAGTCCAAAATCAATCAATGTAGATGGGTGAAAAACTAAGCTAAAATAACAAAAAGTACAGTTTAATCTGGCAAAGGCCCACACATATGTAGAAAAACTCACTGGAAAGTAAGATCCACTCAATATCAGGGCAAGGAAATCAGCAGTGTGGCCTTGACCAGCCTGGGCTACTCATCAAGGAATCTGTTAGCAACACAGATAGAGACACCACCCCACCTTCTGATCTGCCAGCTCACTTATAAAAACTGACCATAAATTCTGCAATGAAAAAGTCAGTCAAATATTAGTTCTCTCTCACAAGCAATAAAATCACAAAATCAGCTAAGATTTGAAATTTAGGGTAAGTTAGAATAATTTCCTGCTTTTAATGTGTATACATATTTTAGATTGGGTAATCTTTTCTGCATATAGCCAGACAGGCTTACAGAAGAATTTCAAATATCAAATATAAAAGCTGTTAATGCATGCATTTTATGACTTTGGAAAATTCTTCAATTGTTTAGACTTCAGAGCTGCTAATGACACTAAATTCAATGCCACGTTTGTGGAGTCTGTCAATCAACTTTGTTCTGGAGAAAGCTGCTCCAGGTGTGAAGACCCCGCCCCTGTAAGACAATAATAAGATACAACAGTGTGCAAAGCTGGTCTCCAGCCCTTTTCTCCTCTAGTGTGAAGACTGATTTGCTGGAAGACTAGCTATCAAATCACTATAGAGCTCATGAAAACCTGACTCTTCTGATTCTATCATGGACTAGTTTGGATTCCATTCCTAAAACCAGCCAAATGAGCGAGAAGCTGTTACCCAGGGGAAAGCTAGCGCCCCAGCACTGCACTGGTTCAACGTGACTAGTTCGACAGTCCCACAATATGGTGTGCTTGAGGGGCACACCAAAGGTCATCAACCAAGTAACTGCTGTTGTTTACAAAGACAGCCCTCAGATCAGGATCAAATAAAGACCTTAGGTAACTGATTATTAATAAAGCATAAACAGGACTTAAACTGAATGAAAAAAGTTTCTTTAAATGGCTAACTGCAAATGCTAAATGTTTTCAAAGGGTATACAAGTATTTGGAAAAATTTAATTAGGTGTCACTTTATATAATTTTTGTGTTTATTACTTAATATTGTTTTAGGTCATACCTAAATTTATTTATTTCTAAGCCTGAGGGCCTATGTTCATTTGTGAAGCTGGACTACTTTTAGGTAAGAGCTAATTGATAATCATCTCGCCAGATGCCAGAATCAATTCACGCTGCTGTCAGGGCTCCCAGGGAACCGAAGTCAAATTACATGGCCCTCAAACTTTTCTGTCTCCCTCATTTACCTCTGCATTGTTCCCAGAGGCCCATAAGGAATTTTCCTGTTCACAATTTTAATTTACCGCTATTCTCTGTATCAAAGGAACTGTAAATGCTTATATGCAGACCCACACCTGAAAATCAAATCAAAATAAGCTAAAACATAACAGATGAAAAAGATATCTTCAAATTAGAAGGAAACCGGACTTACACCTTCGGAAGATCAGAGGCATCATTTAGAAGGGTCATGGCTGCCTGGACCATCGCTATGGGGGTAGCTACATAGCCAGCCTCTGCAGAAAACAGGTGATCAAAGAAAAAAAAGTTTTCATGAAGTATGCATTCAACAACGCCTGAAAATCTAATAGCAGGTTTTATATCTAACTCTAGGTATACAGAATTATCTCAATAAACACTTTGTTCACTTAATAACAAAAATAGTAATTAACATTTATACAGTACTTACAAAGTGTTAGGAACTGTATTAAGTGCTTTAAATTTACTAAACTCATTTAATTCTCCTAGCAATTGCATGAGGTTAGCATTATTTTTATCCCCATTTTAGAGATGAGGAAACTGAGGCATAGACAGGTTAAATGAATAGTCCAAACTCACAAGTTAGGCAGTGGCTGAGCCAGAACTACACCCAGGCAGCTCTTACCCACTACCTCATGACAATAATCTAAGTCAGTGATCCTAGGATTTCTTGTTTCTCTATTAATACATTAAATTTCACTTACAAAAAGGACTCAATTTCTTAAAAAACACACCAAACAACTAAATGCTGAGTAACTTCAAAAGAAGTCTCACTTCATGAAGTAACTTTAAGCAACTGAGACATTAGTGTTTACACTCCTGTCCAGTAATAAAAACAGTCAACTTATCTTAATAATCCAGATGGGAATCTGAAAAGAAGGCAAGATGCAAAGATCTTTGCCATCTCACTTGATTAAAACTGCAAAACAAACTCCTTGTAACCTATCAGGGATGACAGTAACTAAACTTACAATTATTCTATAATTCGTAAGTGGGACTATCTGTATAGCTATCTAAAATTTACAGCAAAAGTTCTAGAACTTTTTTGGATGACAGTTACTTTTAACATCCATACAAAAGCTTTAGCTCTCCCCATAAAAACGCACACATGTACACCCATTTTATGAACGATGTCAGGGTAATTACAAACTCCAAAGAAACCTTGGATCAAACAGCTAAGTATCAACTAGCCCCTTGTCTTTTTAGTATTAAAATCTGCCATTTGGAATTACTGAGTCATACTGAAAGAGTAAAACGGAGGGAGGGATACACTAATAAAACGGGATTATACCAATAATTTCAATCCTTCTTTTGACACAATCATTTATCAGTAATACTTAAATAATTTCTGCAAATGTATTTCTAAAACAATTATGCTTTGAAAAGAATAGCATACCACCTTAAGACAATGTAAAATTCCCAAGCATTCTTAAATCACATGTGAAATACCTGGTCCTTTCACCTGAGTACAAATTCTGATATTGGGTTTGTTTTTCTCAGGAGTAAAGCCTTGGCTGTACCCTTGACCAAAGAATGTCATTGTAAATGATGCGGTATCAATCTGAGAAAAAGAAAGCAAAGGTTTATTTAAGAAATACGTCATTTCCCCCTGAAACAATCTAACCTACTATTCTACTTCACGAGACATTTTCAGTAGATAAAAATATCAGCTGTCTATCTGCTAGAATATCCTGTTCTCCCTGAAGCATGGAGCAAAAATTAATTCTTTGAAGGTGCAAGTTTTGATGACTGGTATGATGTTGCAGTGGGGGGGAGGTGATGAGGAACAGCGAAGAGATAAAGATGAATCTTATGTTGAGGTTTAGAGGGCAGCACCACTAAAATAGGCAGTTTTAGAGCAAAAGCTGCAGCTAGTTTTTATTTTAGGGTGACAAAATATGATAACCTGGTTTTAGGTATCTGTTTGAGGTGACAAGACAAAAGTAGCCTGCAAGTAATGGCAATATGGACTTGAGGCACAGATATACAACTGTTCCACTTAGAGATGTAAACTGGAGATAATACTCACTTCTGGAGGTGTTTGAAAAGATTAAGTCATCTAATTTACGTAAAGAATGTACAAGGGTGTCTGATACATAGTAAGTGTTCCATCAAGTCTTAGCTGTTATTGTCACTGCACTGAGGAAAAGTAAAAAACAAATAAATAAAGAAAAATGTTCTTTTAGAGACCTGAATACAAAAGAAAGTGTTACCTGTTTTTGTGTTGGACCTTGTTTTGAAAAATTACCAAAGGAGAAGAGCCATGGGAACTAAAGGGAAAAAACAAACACCCTCAGTGATCTTTTTAAAACTCACAGAAAATACTTTTAGATTGAATTTCATAAACATATTGCTTACTTTTACGAGAAGCTGCCTTCCAATGCCAAACTTCACAAAGAGTAAAAAGAAAAGTCCTGCAAACATCAGCTTAATAGCAGAGGTGATGCCTCCCACAGTTACATACGCAGCATACTGAATCTAGATAAGGAATGTCAAGTCAGAACGTTACTCCCTCCTTTGTTAGGCCAAGCAACATAAGAATGTTGGCTACTTGTAACTTACTCTGTAGTCATAAATATCGAACAAAAGCTGTTTCCACTTTATGAATATGCAGAAACCAGACACTGGGAGCATATTTTAAAAAGAAATTATTGCAAATAGTAATTAGCTTCCTCACTTGAATACAAAAGTCTACATAATCCACATATAAAAAGTTGAATAATATGCCTGAATTTAGCAATTATACATTCTAGAATACAGACTACACTTCCAATGTCTTCTATAAGAAAATACTCTTATCTTTTAACTTGAGATAGTTTCCTCTTCAAGTCTCAGCAGAGGGAGCAACTGTGTACTTCCCTCAAAAAAAGGAGTAGGGTGATACTCACAGGTAGCAAGGAGAGGTGGAGGAGAAAACCCAGACATCTCCACAAGCACAGAAAGAATATTCTGGCAGCTAATTGCCGGGTGTTTACGAGCCAGGATTTCCTGTACCAAACTTGCTGCTGTTGTGTTACATTAAAAAGGTATTCAGCAGGCCAGATATCAATTATGGGGTGAGGCAATTACCATCCCCACAAAATGCAAAATGCTCTATACTACCAACACTGTATACTTCCAGAAACTGGAACGCACATTATTTAGCTATTTCTTTTTTTGCTTTATAAACATAAAAATCCTAATTAAACTGTAGGGAAACTATAACAAACATAGAGTATCCTTTACTAAAAAATAAATCATATACACTTACAGGTAATTGTTCTAAATTTTCATGCAAGTAACGCTGAGTTCGCTTCACAACAGACACATCTACTCCCAAGAATGGAATGGAGTAACTGTTGAGTTCTCTGCAGTAAGAGACTGGCCACCTGCAAGACAGACCCATGTTGTATTTTTTCCATGTATAGTGACCACAATTTTAATTGGTAAATTTCTGGAAAAAAATTTAACTTTTCTTGAGGCAGTAATAACAATGAAGATGGCAGATCTGCTCTTAATTAATATTTCAGTTTTGTCCTTTGCTCTCTATATCTACACCCAAACAAGTGACGAGTGAACAGAGGAGTACTCTTCACACCAAAGGCACTTAATACATGTAGTTTAACTATGTTTTACCCCATCAATTTCACTGGACAATGATAAAAAGAACACTCATTTCAACAGCCAAACTCTGAGGTCACAGTTCTTACATATAAATGCTATTAATGTATTGATTAAGTAATCTACATATGATCATCACACTTGAAGTTAGTTTTACTACACAAAATTTAATTGATGTTTAATTTTGATATTGATAGTGAAAAGCCAAAAATTTTTTTCCATGGGTACAAACGTATTATGTATTATTATATACGAAGTACTTAAGCTTAGGGTAACGTATTAATTATATTTTATTTATCTAAAATCAATTCTAGACTTACTACAAAATAGTCTCCAGGCTTTTCTTAGTAGCATATTTTATTTATAGCCAGATCAACACAAAATAGTTAAGACTAGATATACTAATAGATTTTGAATCAATATACCTTCTTTTTAATTTTGCACCAACAATTGGGAGAGGTTTCGTTTTTGACTCATTTCGTAGCTTTTTCAATTGGCTGCGATCTCCAAAACCATAAACTGCTGACTTCCAGGTGCCATCATGAATGCACAACCCCTAATAAAATAATTCAAGAGTTAAAGAAACACGTCTTAAGGGATAATTACTAAAATGTAAAACCAAGTAAGTTATAATTGGCACAAAGAACATTTCACCTCTATTCATGCACGGCATAAACCCTTATTTAGAAATCTTGCGATGAATTTCATGACGGGCTAGGCAGTGATAACACTCATTAGTTTGGTCACATTCAATGTCTACACCAACAAATGCCCTTTCTTCCTCCCTCCTACCATTATTTACACTCTTTTCAATAAGCCACTGCATTTCACTTCATAATCTTCATTCAACCAACTGACCATATTCCTTCAAATCTGCCTCTAGTCCCCATCTTCATGCTGACTCCTTAAAACGTCACCATCTATTCACACCTACACTCGTGCACACACACAACGTACTGCCCACCTATTCCTTCCCTGCAGTATCGTACCCACCTGCCCCTAACACCACTTATTCTAGCCCCAAGTTAGATAAATGTCTCCCACAGAAGTCTTGCTAGTTTTTTAATTTTAAGGCTTATTAATATTTGTAATTTAATTTCTTCCCCAATCCCTCAGTTTCTTACTGACACTGTACCCAGATAGAATCCTTGCTTGATCTTACCGACACTCTCCTTCACCACTTCATTTTCATCTCTTTCATGAGACTCCGAGCTCTCAGGACCTTCTACAACCCTTGCCTCCAAATCCAATTGGAAATGAGTGGCCAAAAGGAGAGCACAGGTGAGGATGGAATACTGGAACCTACTGTCTCAGTGCTGACCCTTCTTTACCAGACTTCTAAGTGGGCCTTTTACTTCTCTATTATGTAAATATTTCAAACTTAATTTATAATTTTGATTGTACACAACTATATTATATCCTGCCTTATATGTTGTTTACCTTGTTTAAAAGAACAAAGTCCTTTAGAAACATTCAAAACCAACTTGGTCACAAGACTTTGCAAGAGGAATTATCAGTAAGTAAGGCATATGTGAAGATACTGTTGGTTGCTAATCAGCAGAACAGGGGGGACAATAAAACCATCGGAAGAGTCAGGTTTGTCATATTTAGCTTTGATGACATTGAAAGGCAGAGCGACACCAAACCTAATTTCCATTTTGGTCCAGATTAATTTCCTCCGTTTTGTTAAAACTAAAACAGAGCTAAAGTCTTAAGGGTTTGATTTGTGAAACTACACAGTACTTGAAAGAATATTTTTACATTTTTATTTTTTAAATGTAAGATTGGGAAACTTTTATTGATTTGAGAGAGAGAGAGAGAAACATCAATGTGTTGTTCCACTTATTTATGTGTTCACTGGTTGCTTCTTGTATGTGCCCTGGCCACAGATCGAACCCAAAACCTTGGCATATCAGGATGACACTCTAACCAACTGAGCTACCCGGCCAGGGCTGAATGAGTATTTTTTAAAGAGAACAAATACTTATAAAGCCTCAAGTAAAGATACAGAACTGGGTTAGACACTACTGACAATAAAAGTACTATCATAAAACATGGTCTCTTCCCAGAAATGCAAGTATCTTATGTTCCCAAAAAGACTGTAAACTCAGTAAGATTATATTTACACCATACATTTCTTGTTTGGCCACAAAAGTACCTAACTCCAAGTTAGTCACATAATAAAAATGCATCTACTCTGCATTAAGGTGATAACTGTCTTGGCTGACAATATTTATTACAAAACACTGACAGAAACTTTAGTTAGGATCATGGTAATTAATTCTAATATAACGAACTGTGCAGTTGTTTTAAAAATAGATTCTATTCGTAGATCAAAGGAATTCTCAGCAATCCAGTATCTTTATTTTTTAAAATTAAACACAGGGACTTTCATACACTAAAAATTACAAATATATGTGTATATATGTGTGTGTGTACATATAATTTAATTAATCTAAATCTTTAAGAGGCATGTATCATTTCCAAAATGTTTTAATATTAACTTAGAAAATACTTGACAAACAGAAAAACTAACCTCAGGTCCTGGATTTATAGTCAGGAAACTTTCCACTGCAGTCAAAGTACCTAAAAGAGTAGGAAAATGGTCAACGTAAAATCAAATAAAATCTATTTTGCCAGGACAAGTAACAATGACGTATTTCTATTCATTTAGGGACTGCTTTTACTAAGCCTACAGCTGATATAGTCAGAAAATCAATACTGAGAACAGTTTTATAATGTTACTGTAAACAGATTTAAAAATCAGCTGAGCCAAGTAAATTGTCAGGAAGCGTAGTTTAGCATAAACTTTATCTCCTAGTACTGACAAAATATTTCCTCCTATTCAAACTGATGCTAAAAATCTCTTCCAATAAGGCAACAATTTAGCTCATTCATTCTGGAAGGCCAGCAAGACATAGTTCTCAAAATTACATCTATGGAAATTATTTGATTTTCCAATATGACAGCTTTTAAGAATACTTACCAATAGTGACATACAATTAACGTACAGAAAACCTATCAAAATGGCCTCTGTGATGGTTTGTAAAATACTTAAAATAAGTCTGTTAAAATAAAAAAAAGAAGAAAAAAAAAATATATATATAAGTATAAAGTAAAAACAAAACCAAAACCAGAAAAAAGGGAAGAAATCAATTATATTACCCATGAGGACTAACATATAGGCATAGTGCTTAAGTACTTAATTAATATCCGAAATTCTCCAGAGCAGTAAGACAAAAGAAAAACATAATGGGCTGGTTAATTCTCAAAATCTGATAAAAATGAAATACATCAACTTCATAAGAGACAGCACTCCTAGGTTTAATTCCAAGAAAAAATGAAAACATGGGTGCTTAGAAAAGTTAACACTGAGAAAAGTAATGAAAAATCTTGTCATCCACAATGATGCTGCCGCAGAAGAGAACCAGCGTCACACAAATGTCAGCAGTCTGGCCACTGACAAAAACCAAGAACAGATCATTCAAGTGTATCTCACTAAAGATGATGTGAAGGATTGTTAAGAGAATGTGGCCTGACTATATGGCTCTGTGACCTAACACTCTCCACAGAAAGAACAAAGACAACTAAAGCAGTATGTTATAAGATGTGGACCACCTGCATCAAAAACTGAATAGCATAATTGTTAAAATGCTGATTCCTAGGTTTTAGTATCTGAAAAAAGTTTTTAAACAAACCTTAAAGTATTATTTCTCCCTTAAGAAGAAAAATAAAAAGACCTATTCAAAGTAATGAAAACTTGTAAATATTTGGGAATAACCTCAATAAGGCATATGTAAGGTTATTATGAAGAAAACGTCTAAACTTTATAGACTTAAAAGACTTTTAAAAATAAACAGAGACATACCAGGTCTATGGATTGAAAGACTACATATTTTAAAGATGTTCATGTTTTTCTTTTTATTGGAAATGGTTCCAGTGCTGCATCATTATGTATGATATTGGCTATTGCTCTATGACATTTATTATGTTAAGAAAGTATTCTATTCTTCAGTTTCTAAAAATGTGAAATCAGTAAATGAATTTTCAAATCATTTCTTGAGATGGGCCTATAGCTTTCACCTCTGATATCTGATGTGATGATTACATAACTTCCTAATAAATCTTGGTCTGGATATATTATTCTTTTAAAATGTCACTGGATGTTTATTAAAATTTTATTTAGCATTTTCTTTTTACTACCTATTTCACAAGCAAAACTGATTTTAGCTTTTATTTTTTGTGTGTGCTTTGTTGGGCTTTGGTTTCAGTTAACTTTTTAATACAAACTAGAATACTTTCCATCTTTGTAAGCTCTAGAACAGTTTGTATGGTACTGGAATTATCTGCTTCAGGTCATTTTCTAAATAAATACTTTTAAAATATGCATGACGTTAGTAACTTCCATGAAGTTTGATGATGATACACTACTAATATTTTCTATTCTTAAATTATTGTCTTTATTTTTTAAATATATCTTTACTGATTTCAGAGAGAGGAAGGGAGAGGGAGAGAGAAAAACATCAATGATGAGAGAGTCGTCATTGATCGGCTGCCTCCTGCACGCCCCCGACAGGGGATTGAGCCTACAACCATTGTCTCCATTTCATAAATGGGGTAAAAAAGATGTCAAAAACTTTGTTCAATGCTTTCTAGCTTTGTTGGTTAAAAAAATTAAAACCTTTGCCCGGCCGGGCGTGGCTCAGGGTTTGAGCATCGATCTAGGATCCAGGAGGTTTGATTCCTGGTCAGGTCACATGCCCGGGTTGTGGGCTCGATCCCCAGTCTGGGGTGTGCAAGAGGCAACCAATCAATGACTCTCTCATCATTGATGTTTCTATTTCTCTCTCTCCCTTTCTCTCTCTGAAATCAATAAAGATATGCTTTAAAAAAAAGTAAAACCTTTAATTATAATATCTATATAAATTATACTTTTAAATGTATCAATTCCTAAACAAAGCAAGTTTGAATTTATAATGGCTGCCAAAATTTTCCCCCCAGAAATTTTACAGCTGTAATCATAACTAAATTGAGGCAACGGATAACTTGGCACTTTAGAAGACTTATACTATCCATCTCTCAAAAAAAAAATAGTGTCAATGGCATTTTATAACAAGCATAGCTATATTACAAAGTATGTATTTTAACATTACCCATTTATAGTTATATTTCTTTTCTCAACCAACCAGATTTTAGTTCATCATTAACTGCAAACACGAAGTCTTTCTATTGTCAAATTCAACTACTGCAAATTGATCAATAATTACCATTCATTTTATTCTTGGTATATATTACTCCCATATCTGCCGGAATGGAGTCAAAGCCACTGCTTCCGATGATATAAACCCCTTTTTCTGCAGCTTTCTCGTGATACTTCCAATGCATTAGTTCCAGAAACTAAAAATTCAGGACAAAAGATCTGAATCAAAACTGTACAGAAACATCTCAACCAGTATTAAATGATTACCTTTAAAGACAAAACAATTAACCTTTGAAAATGCTAACCAATATGGCTCTTTGTCAAAATGTTTTTGATTTATTTAGCATTTACCACATGTCAGGTGCTGATCTGACCTACTGACACTACTTTTTCAGAATGACTTGTAAATGCAAAAGAATACATCTTATAAAAATACCTATTAACACAGAAAAATACAAAGAAAGCAAAACAAGTTACATCAAATCACATTAGCCAGATGAACATCATTATAGACATGTATCTACACATGCATATGTGTAACAGAAAAATAGAGTGGCAGGAAAGGAGGGAATATAAGAGGGAACTAATAATGTCTATTCAAATTCTTTTCTGTTTTTAAAAATTACTTGATTTTTTTAGAAGTTTTAGATTTATAGAAAAGCTGAGGAGTTCCCAAGTACCACTCACCCAGTTTCCCCTATAAGTACACCTTATACATTGTTACAATTAGTAAAACAAAATTGATACATTAACTAAAGTCCATACTTTATTCAGATTTCCTTAGCTTTTACCTAATGTCTTTTTTCTGTCTCAGGACCCCATCTAGGATACCATATTACATTTACTGTCATGTATCCTTGAGCTCCTTTTGACTGTGACAGTTTCTCAGACTCTCCCTGTTTTTGATGATCTGGATGGTTTTGAGGAGTACTTGGTCAGGTACTTTGTAGAATGCCCCGTATTGGAATTTATCGCATGTTTTTCTCATGATGAGAACTGGGGTTATAGGTGTTTGGAAGGAGGACCACAGGGGTATAGGGTGCCATGTCATGATATCGTATCAGAAGTACATACTATCAATACGGTTTATCTATGTTGACGCTGATGTTGAATACCTGCCTGAGGAAGTGTTTTTCAGGTTTTTTCACTGTAAAGTTATTCTTTTTCCCCCTTTCCATACTATATTCTTTGGAAGGAAGTGACTATGTAAGGACTACACTTAGGAGCGGGGAGCTATGCTCCCAATCCTTGAGGGCAGAATAGCTACATGAATTATTTGGAATTCTTCTGCACAAATTTGTCTCTTCTCATCCCTTTGCTCATTTTAACTGGATTATCTGAATTTGTATTATGACTTATAAGAGTTCTTTATATATTCTAGATCTTTATTAAGTTTTGATATCACTTTTATAGTAACTTAAAAGTTTTTCACCATTTTCTCTGCTCTGGAATATTTTAAGTAAGATAGAAATTGGTTTTTGTTTCATTATTTTTGTTTTTATTGTTTTTGTTTCAATGTTTCCTACCTCTTCATCAGTAAACTTTGGTAATTTATACTTTCCTAGTGTTTTCCAATATACACTATCAATTGATAAACTCTAAGTAGGTACTATATTGGCACACTGATGGTAGTAATCAGTAGACTACAGGGACATATGAGGTCACAGTTTTAAAAGAGGTAGTGTAGTTCAGTGCTGTCAACACACACTTCCTGCAGTCAGGCAAACCTCAATTCAAGTCCTAGTTTTTGTACTTACTAGTTGCATGACTGAACTAGTTAATTAACCTTTCTAAGGTTCAATTTCCTCATCTATAAAACAAGGAAAAAGATACCTACTTTACAGAAATGTTTAAAAAGTTACATAAAATGCTTATTTAGCACACTGCAGGGCACGTGGAAAGCATTCAATGAATGTGAACATTTAACATTTTTAGGCTGAGAAGATTTTACATTTATTTTTTTGTAATGTTATAAAGGTGTCTAGATTTTTAAAAAAGAAATTTATAGTGAAAGTTACAAAAATAAGATTCTGAGAATTACTCCACGGCACACTATTTTAATTAATTCAGTTCACAGAATGGAGTAACTTTAAAAAATCAGCATATGCTATATTCCAAGGACTTGAAATAAGTAAGATTGTAGGGAAGAAAATTTCAAGAAAACTGAAGCTAAAACCTTACCATCGTGCTCTCCTGGAAGCCAACAATGGAATACCATCTCTAAAGGAGATCATCACCTTCTAAAATGTCCACAAAACTGCATTAAATGTTTTCCACTTTAACAGAAAATTGTGCTATTAATTCTGTTTTCTTTTTCAGTTTACATACCTGAGGTTCTCCAGAGATGTCAATACAGCTAGTTCCACTTTCAATACATGCTTTTACTACAGGTTCTCCATAAAATCGATACTGGGGGAATAAAGGAAACCAACAGTTTACTCTTACTAAGCAAGCTTAAATGAATGAAATACCATTCAGTTTTGGAAGTACTGTCTTGGTTATTAATAAATCAAACATTAATAAAGTAGCCTAAACATAAATTGAGAAAATAATGTAACTGCAATATACCAACTCTCATGGGATAGAATTACAGAGGGATGTGTGCTTACCTCTAACTGAAGACAAAATGGGAAGTTTTATAAAAGTGATTCATTTGAGCTGAATTCTGAAAAACAGTAAGGATTTGCCAGAAAAGAAAATCCAGATAAAGACAAAGTATATGCAAAGGTGCAAGAAATGGGGCTGTTCAGGATACCTGAAGCACAGGGAGTTGAGAGGAGTGGTAGGCGATGAGTCTAAAAACAAACCCTTCGGCCGTATCAGGAAGGACCCTGATTGTCAACACTGAACTTTTACCTATTTTGGCCACTTCTATTTTCATAGAAAAAAATAAAAAAACAAAAACTCATAGACACAGACAACAGTATAGCGATTATCAGAGGGAGAGGGAGTGTGAGGGGAGGTAGAAGAGGGTAAAGGGGGATAAACGGTGATGGAAGGGGACTTGACTTGGGGTGGTGAACCCACAATATACAGATGATGTATCAGAGAATTGTACACTTGAAACCTATATAATTTTATTAAGCAATGTCACCCCAATAAATTCAATAAACATTTTTTTAAAAGTCACCAGATAACAGTTAGGAAAAAGGGACAGGATGCTAAAGGTGTGAGGAAAAAGTTGTAAAACTGCTGCTTCCAAGAGTAGAAGAGAAAAGAACAGCCTAGGGAAAAAAGGAGCAAAACTGCTGGAGGTGCTGGGGTTCCGAGAGGTTTACAATCACACATTTAAAGTGGGATCAGTCAGCATGGGGATGCATTTTTCTTCAGCCATGCTGGGTTACTTCCGTTCAGACAAAGAGTAGGCGGAGAGCTGGAATAACCAGTGCCGGGGGTTTTTCAGAGCACTGGGGAGGGAAGGGCAAAGGAGCTAGCTGAGGATGTATATAGAAGTAATTCAAGCAAAGGACCACAGAAAACAATCAAAAAACCTTCCTGCTTTCATTTTGAAAATAATCAATAATTTTCTAGATGCTTAGTGTTCCAACGCTTAGTGTTCCAATTGTGATGCCTTCCTCAGGTCAGCTGAGGTCACCAACATTCACCATTACACAGGCAAAAGTGCCTCTTTCACATCCAGTTAGTACAAGAGCAAAAGTTGGTGGTCCTCTCAAAATATACTCTGAACTCAACCACCTCTAACACCCTTATCCTGTGCTTGCCTTGCTTGGGCCACCCTACTGCTACTCCCCTACCACCTATTCTTCCTCTCAGAAGTCAAAGAACTTCAAAACTGTAAATCAAATCACGCCCTTGTTTTCAACCATCCAACGACTATCACATTTAGAAGAAAATTCAAAACTTGACTTGTCAGACCCTACATGACCCTAGCCAACCCTGGGTACTGCTCCAATCTAACTTCCCACCTCTCTGCCCTGCTCATGGCCCAGTCACATTGGCCTCTCTCACATTCTTCAGTCTTGCCAAGCTCATGCTCATCTCAGGACCTTTGCACGTGCGTGTCCCTGGATCACCCTTCTCAAATACTCACATGGTTTGCTCCCTCACTTCTCAGGTCTCCAGGCAGATGTCAATTCCTCACAGAGACCTTCCTTGACCACCTAATACGCCCTGATGTGCCCACCTCTTTATTTCCTTATTGTGCTTTATTTTTCTTCAAAGCACTTATCTCTACCACTATTGGAACCTTATTTTTCTGTCTCCCCCGCTGCACTGTAAGCTCCGTGAGAGATTATGTTTTGTTCACCATTATGTCGCAGGTACCTAGACTAATGCATTTACACACAGGGGTGGGCAAAAGTAGGCTTATAGTTGTGAGTACTCAAACCCAAAGTTGATTCTTGCATTGTTAATTTGTACACCTACTTTGTTAATTACTGTCAACCTACTTTTGCCCACCCCTGTATAGCAAACATTCAATAAATGAACGTGTCCTTTTTCAATCTCTATTTTTCTGCATGTTATTAACAAGTATATCTGTACAATAATACAGAAATATAATTTATAAATAAATAGAGTATTAGGAGAACAAGCTCAAACAGTATTTACTTAAGGGCATACAGTAAAGAGAAAAAAGGCTTGGCAATTATAGCTGTAAGTAATAAACAAACCAAACAAACCGCATACATTCCTGGAGTATGGCATCACAGAGGCCTGTCACTCTCTCTCTCAGGAGATTTTGATCATATCTGTTTGCTAATCACAAGAAGTGAAAACTCCCCACATAGGATTAAGGCCCTGAACCAACTCTCTCTGTCTTCTGCCCTCATGTTCCCCTGGAAGAAAAAAATACCAGATTCTGCTAGAAATGAAGAGGTTCTTTGTTCTAATACAAAGAAGGGCTGATTACTTACTGGTCCTACACAGTTGAGGACAACTGTTGCCTGTTTGGCCATTTCATCAAGTGAGGCTGGATTAGTGATATCACATATTATTATTCCAACTTCAGATGGTAGTGTCGGTCTTCCTGAAATAAGAAATAAATCATCTTAAGTGAATCTGATACAGTATTAGGTCTTCCAGATCTTCTTTTCATAGTAATCAGTGACAGCAAAATCCTGAAAGCTAACTCTCCCTCTCCAACAAAAGATAAAAACTGTTTTCAACCGGGTAATAAAAAAGGAAAAAGCTATGAAGAAAATGGAGTTAATACTAAGGGTGACTAAAAACATTACTAACCTTGAAAAAAACACACAACCAACATAGGTAACATGTAAGCGACAATCTTGTGTAAAACGACAATTTTTCAGTCGTTTAGATACTGAACAGCGGATCGTCCTGACTTCCTCTCTGCCAAGAATTATGTTATAAAAAGTTTCTCAGCTAAATATGATAAAATTATGTGGGTAGAGGACAGCTGTTAATATCAGCATAACGCAAACAAAAGAGGACTCCGGCAGAAAGCACAGTCTAGGTAAGCACACTCAGGCTCATATAAAGGAAGTAACTGGAATTCACTGAATCCAGAGACTAAGGCAGGTTTTGACAGGGCGAGGTGCATCCCCCACAATAACTTGATCTGGGCATTACCGGGTGGAAGGTAAGTAGGCTGTGCCTGTACAGTTCCTGAAGAACAGGAAAAAAGACAGGGAAGGATCTATTTTAACAGTGAAATGATTTCTTTTGGAAAAGTAAAGAAAGACCAAAAAGCTCTTTGGTCAAGATCCTGTATTTGGGGGTAGTGGCAGCAGGAAGTTGCAGGAGAGAGTCCAGCCCATGTGGTTATCATCGGGACATAACCCCAAACAAAATAGATGCGACATTCCCACCAGGACAAGAAAGCGAGATAAAAACTGAACAGAACAGCAGGGCAGACCCGGAGCTCTAACAGGTGCCATTTGTCCGCACGAGGGGACACTCGGGTGGCAAAAGGCTAACTGAAAGGCCGCCGAGTCCTGAATTAGACGTCGCCCCCACCGCGGGGCAGGGTCTGCGCGCGCCCGTCTGTCCCCCCACCTCTGCACCCCGGGCACGCGGAACACGCCCCGGCCCCGGAGAAACCCCTCGCCCCGCGCCCGCGGAATGAACGCCAAGCGCCCCAACCAGAAATACGAACTTCGGGGCCCCCGGGGCGGCAGGTGGGTCAACAGCGAGCGAGTCTGCCGGAGGATTCTAAACCAACCAACCCCACTAAACAAACGTTCCCGGCCAGGAAAACGCCTCAGCTTTCCCTCCCACGTCCCAGCGCCCGAGACGAAGGGGGAGCACGGTCTCCAAGAAGCCCAACATGGAGAAACCTCCAGCTCTGGGGAGGGACGCGGAGAAAATGAAAAAAAAACTCAAGTGCTGGATCATTTCGCCAGCGGGGCTCCCCTCAAACTAAAGGGAAAATTCCACAGACGGACAGAAACGCGCTGTTTTCTTCTCAGGTGGCGAGGGGAACAAAGCCACGGCCCTGCTGGGGGCGCCGCCGTCGCCCTCCGGCCCTCAAGCTGGGCCCGGGGAGCCCCTGGGCCGCACGCGGGAAGGACAAACGCTCGCTCGGGCGGC